ATAATATTTAAAAATAGATGCTGCTTTTCCATTAGTGCTTTTTTAAAAATAAAAACAAAAGGTAAATAAAGGATTGCCTTACTAAATTTGATATGGGTAACTCAATGCTACTTTACAAAGATAGAACTAAAACTGTTTATAGCACAGTGAATACACAGTTAATTCATTCATAATTACTTCTTTTAGTATGCTAGTACTTGCAGTTCCAGCTGGTATCTGCATTTAAGAACTTTTGAGGAAACAAATGAATAAAGAAAATATTTTGCCGAAAATCACTCTATGCTTACTTTATAAACAGTGGAAGGTATGCACAAATACGGTGCTAATGTTCACACAACATTCTTGTAACTGCTCTTCGGGTAACTTCAGAATGTTCAGTCATAATATGCACCTGGCTTTAGGAAAAATTATGGTTTCATTTAATCCAGTAAAAAAAGAGGAGAATGCAGCAAAAACCTTTGCAACTCTGTGTATACATATGCTTTGATAGAGTGGCACACAGTTGTTGCAAGAACACGTGTGTTTGTTACCATTCTGGCTGCATCTGCCTCCTCTTTCAACCAGTGAAATATCAAGAAATACCTGAATGTATGGATTTGTAACATAACTGTACAATCTCAAACCTTGTTTTGTTGGGAATCTTCCTGCTGGCTATTGATGGTCTCCTCAGTTTGCCAGCTGAGGCCTCTGTAGTTTGCAGTACATCTCAGTCCAGCAGAGCAGGGTGGTGTAAAATCAAACCTCTGTATTCAGTTCTTGTGCTTCAATTCCTGCTATTGTTTTCAGTAGTTTCCACCAAGGGTGTGCTTTGCTTTGAGAACACAGTGCTCCATTCATCAACTTTAACTTTTTTTATATACTACTGACAATATGGACAGAGGGAGAGAATCAAACTGTCAAAATTTCACCTAAAGTATAATTTAATCAGACTCTGGGTGCCTGAGTCTGAGAATAATTCAAATTGCCCATTCTCAAGCACCACCCAACCCCTAGTGGCACCTAAAATGAATAATTTTGGACAACTGATTTCCCCCAGCGTCTGGGCATAAATTCCAGGCATGCTTAGAAGCACCATGGCTTAAGCAGACAGGCATGTAACTCCCACCCAAGTTTCATTGTGACTCTAAGATGTGTGTAGAGATGCCAGAACATTGCCCATGTCCCTAGAGGTGCCATAGTAAGCTTGTAGAGCATTGGATACAACACAAACCACAGCAGTCAAGTGTTTTGAGTGTAGAAGAGGAAGAGAGCACCTTTTTAATAGCCTTAAAGGTTTGAGCAGTCATCTGGGAAGGATGTCTGGTTTGGTAAGGAAATTAAACAGGAATGGGAGAACTTAACTGTTATTCCACCAGAAAGGATATTTTCTTTTCATGAAGGCCTCAGATTTTTTTGCTCCCAAGTCTGGTGATTTTGTTCAGACATTGTTGTCCAAAAAGGCATCTGGTTGAGAGATCAGAAGCCAAGGATAGCCTCATCTGCTTGTCTGTGTTAATTTGTAAGTTCTTTGTCTTGTCTTTATAGATAAATTTGCACACTTAGCAGTTGCTACCCATATTTCTGTAACATAATAACTTGCTTAAAACCTGTCATCTCTCTTACTGCCTTCGGTGTAGACACCAAATGGGATTTACTACCCTAAGTTCATGTTCTCTGTTTGTCCTGTGTGTACATCTGTAGACTTTGAGGTGAGCTTGGTGTAGGTTTGCTTCACCCTCTTTGTCTCTCCTTTTCTTACTGTTTTTATGCTGTGCCATGTGGAAAGGTTAAAAACTCTCTGTTGGAGTACTTTTTGGGTTGTGGACATGTGGAACAAGTTGCTTTTGAATTTTTTATTAACGTTTAATGCTGTTCCTTTATTGTTTTCACCCTATACATAATACCTCATATATTTTTTCAGGTTTTAAATATTTGTAGATGTGATTAGGTGAAATAGTATGGTAAACATTCAAAGAAATTCTGAATTTTAAATTCAGTATTCCATGAAATTTTGTTTTGGCTTTTCTCATGTTCCAACATGAGGTTTTATGTTCATTTTTCTGTTTGGTCTTTTATTTCTCTCATATACTGATTGTTTAAACATGTACATACTTTGTCTATTTTTGAGGATTTTTAACTGATTTTGCAGAGTAGAAGATACCATGGTAATAATACTTAATATCACTGAAGTATCTTACTAATCATCTGTACCTAAGTCACTTCAATGCTCAGTGCATGCTTTTTTATTCTATTGCAGCCACTTGAAGCCATTCAGGGAGCAAGAGCATAGGAGAAATTGTATATGGTAGTAGATAGCCAGCTGGTTGTCTGGGAATTGCATCCCATTATTTTGTTCCTTTCCACGTTCACCATCTAGCTAGAAGGGTTGACTGTGAAGTGTGTACTTTAAAGCATCTGTTAATGATTTTTGGTCACCAAGGAATCTTCATATAGACATCAATGATAACTCTTCTCAAAATAAAGATACTGCTAAATTATATCTCTGGTATATGGTAGTTGTATATTAAATTTGTGCAGTTTGTTGACCAGATACTGGAACAGATTTCCCAAAGAGTTGTGGAATAATTTCCATTCTAGATACTTCCAAAACTCGTCAGGATAGGACTTACAGTAACCTGATATAATTTTCATGTTGTCCCTACTTTAAACCCAGGAATAAATCCATTGACCTCCAGAAGTACTTTCCTACCTCAGTTATTTTGTGAATGTGACTGAATTTATCCTTGGTCCAATTCTGTATAAATCTTGCCTCTTTAATTGACTTCACTGAAATCGGTAATGTCCTTAGGAATTAATTTGATCTTGCCTGCTTTTCTTATTTCTCTCAATACAGTTTTCTTTGTCAGCTCAAAGGTAGGGGAAGTTAGTTAGAGTGAACTCCTGCTGGTTTTTGTAATGCTGGCCCATACCTTAGCTCTTCTTTTGTTTCCTGGGTTGTTTGGTAAAGAGTTAAGGAAGGTAAATTTATATCACGTGCACTCACATAATCAAACTTATTTGAGAAAATTCTTAAAGAAACACAATTTTAGAAGACTTAATGCTGTCATACATCTAGATGGCTCTGAAAGGTGTAGGAAGGCATGTAGCAAAAAGCAACGGAGGGGTGGGTGAATGTGGGTGTGTAGAAAATAGTGCCACCTTGCCCAAAGACTGCTTCTGCTTGTCTTCCAGACCTTCCTGGCCATGGTTTCCCCTTCTTTTATTTGATGAAGACTTTTGATCATTTCTCTTCCACCGTTGTTTGTCCATTAATGTGAATTCCCCAGTGTCCCCAATATGGAACTTAGCTGGGAAAGTTAATTGATTTTGGAGAGCTAATCAGATGCTCCTACAGCCAGATATCCTGTCTAGTTTACAGCTGTAAACCTGAGATACCATCTCCTTAGCCTGCTTGGGGTGCAGGAAACCACAGGGCTGCTCCCACGTCCAGATAGTTCATTGTTCTGCAGTCACACACTCATGCCTGCTGAAGGTATTTTTTTATAAATCATGAAACATATTCTTTATGCTATATTTGAAATACAATGTATGAAATCTAGGTCTAAGTACAGCCAAGCCTATTCTCTTTTGCCTTGCCTTTTGACATTCCAACGTCTATGGCTGTACAACAGCATATGGGTCCACTAACAATGTGGGATAGCAGCCAGTTTGGTCCTAGGATAAAACAGGAATCAGCTGTGGGAAATAAGCCAAAGAAGTGTGATTCCCACATAAGGGACTTAAATAGGTGCTAGTCCTTAAAGAAGCTCTTTGGCAGGATTTAGAGCAGGCTTCTCTGCACAGGAGGCATTTTTCCTGAGATCCTAAGTACAACAATTTCAAGGAGGGTTGTGGGGCTATTGTTTCATCAGCTGTAGTGCTTTGCTCTTTCTTTGCCCCCACCTTTGTTGTTTGTTTTATTTTGTTTTGTTTTTAAGGAAAGCTTTATAGCACATTGTTATTCCATCAGTATTTTTGTAGAACGAAGACATTTACTTCATGTGATTGTGGGAAATAAAATTGAGGAAATTTTTCTGCTGCGTGGGGGGTCCTCAGGTTTCCTGAGCTCTGATCCAGGGAATGCTTTTTGCACCACAGCCAGCTGATTGCAAACAGCAATATGAACACTTTTGTTATTCCTGTGTTGTGTAGAGATCTGTGGTTTTTATTTTCTCGCTTGTCTTAGAAAAGAAAAAATTCAAAATGTAAAAGGTTCAAATTTAAAAAGTTGATTATACCATCCTAATTTATTTAGAATTAGAAGTAGTGTATATTTAATAATTACCAAAGTCTGTAAGGTTGAGGTACAGATTTTTTTTTTTGTGAAATACAAACTTTTCAAAGAGTTCATGGAAGTGGTGTTGTGGTACATTCTGTGGTATAGGTCAGACTTTTTTTGAGACTTTTTTTGACACATCTTAGGTAAGAAAATAAAACAACAGTAAACCATTTTTTCTAAAATACATTCCTTATTTTTTTTCAAGCTTGCTAAAGTCCAACTGTTCTGATGCTCAAGATGTCCAAGTCATTGCCCATGGAGGTCCCTGGATCAAATCCCTGCTCAAAGCAGGACCAACTTGAAAGTTAGATCAGGTTATTATGAGCCCTGTCCAGCTGTGTTTTGAAAGTCTCCAGGGATGGGGATTATTCCACAAATCCTTTACAAAACTTATTCAAGTATCCCAAGCAATAAACTGGGAAAAAACGTATTTTAAAATACTTTCATGTGGGACATCACTTTGCACCATTTCTTTTTAGACTCTTGTTTATATTAATCACAGATGCTAAAAAATTTAGAACAAAAATTAATTACAAAACTTTCAGTCATTTATTCTTATAAAGAGACTGAACTGTACTTTTGAGAAGAAACACTTCTGAATGTCGAGGCCTGTGAATGTGTATGAGTGGGAGCAAGTGTTTGGCTTCTTGTTTTCACCAGGTATTATTTCTGTTAATTCCTTTTAAGCAGTGCTTGTTTGTATAAGAATAACAAGAATTTTTTTTCCTCCTTCCTGTTCCAGGCAAGTATTTCCAAATGGGCTTCCTGAAGAATACTCTCTAGTTGCTACGTTCCGTGTACGGCGAAATACCAAGAAAGAGCGTTGGTATATATGGCAAGTTTTAAATCAGTATGACACACCTGAGGTTAGAGTCATCTTTGATTTATTTCTTAAAAAAGTTGCTGCTTCTTTTTTTCCCCATGTAATATGGCACATGTAGTAATGGATGTTTCATTAATGGATTTAGCTAAAGTTTATATTAAACAGACAGACTGCTGTGAAATAATTAATAATTTGTTGTAGGAATGGCAGAAATTTAGCAACATCTATTCAGTTTAGACTGCAAAATAGAATAAATGCATGTTATGACTTATAGCTGATATTTATTTACCAAGTTACATAGAAGAATGCTTCATAACATAATTCTTGCCCATGGTATGTAGTTGAAATATTTTTGTTATATATGGTTTATGTATGCGCTTCTTTCTTATAACTTCTAAATAACCACTTCTTTTATTTTGTCTTGCTTTCAGATCTCTGTCCTCCTGGATGGTACAAAAAAGGTGGTGGAATATATGACCAAATCCTCTCAGGGAAATATACTGCACTACACTTTTAAGAGTCGAGAAATTTATCCATTGTTTGATCGGCAGTGGCATAAGCTTGGTATTAGCGTGCAGTCAGGGATCATTTCCCTCTATTTGGATTGTAATTTAATTGAGAGAAAGCAGACTGATGAAAAATTCACCATTGACTTGCAGGGAAGGACACTGATTGCTTCTCGTGCTGCAGATGATAAGCCTGTAGATGTGAGTAGTATGAAAGGACAAACAGATAACTTGAAGTAATGTTTTAGCCATGCTTTTACTAACACAGTTGTAAAGAATCACATAGATAAAATGTTCAAACCCAGTCATTATTTTTGAGTTTGTATTCTTAACTTGAAGTCCTTAAGTGTATTTCTCTAAACATTATTCAGTGCTGTAGCATCTGTTAAGACAAAGCTGTTGCCAGAGTAACTGCATAAAATTCAGTCCTGGTTTAAGGAGTCTATTTTTTCTATATTTCTGAAGAAAGAGCCACCTAATTACCACAGATATGCTATTACTATGTTTAAAGATAACTTGCAGTACTGATTTTTTGCTTTCATTTTTAGTAAGGTTTATTTATAGGTTTGTATCAGTCGTCTGTTACACTTTGATAAAGGGGAGACACAAAATAATTAAGGATTACCTCTGTATTGAGGTCTTCTAGAGTAATTCAGCAATGTAGAAATAGGGGCACATTGTTCACAGCTGTCTCTCCCTTATCCAAAAGGGAGAGATTAGGAAGTGGCCGGAGGTATATTTCTTGTAGCCTATGGTGCAAGAGTTACCCAAAGAAACCCCATAATATTCCGAGCTATTTTCTGTCCCAGGGATGCCTTTTTCTGTTTCCTCATGCAGGGAGGAAGGTAATTTGAAAGCAAGTAATTTGAAAGCACAGCAAGTAATTTGAAATCTTCAGGAAATATCAGTTTGTTTTAAGTACACTGACATGCAGCTACCAGGTCTAAAGCATCTGCCTTGGAGCTTATAGTGACCATCAGAAACCTTTCCAGAGGAAAATAGCACATAGTAACTGCAAGCTAACATTGCAGGAGGAATCATTCTTGTGGAGCACTAATACTTTGGCCTGGACTCAGAGCTCTTATTTCACGGAGCCAAGCTCATGTTTTGTTTGGTTTTCTAAGACTTGAGTTCAATGTTATTTGAAATGTGTGTATAGTCTCCTCATTTCCAAATAGCATGGAGGAGAAAGAGCAGGTGTTTTCTGCTGGTTGCATGGTATGAACTGGATAATTCCGAGTGGAAGTTGTCAATTGGGATTTCCATGTTTGCAGGAAAACATTATGGGCTTAAAGTTGATGAAGGCACCAGAGCAGATCCTGTACCAATGGTTATTTTTCTCATTACTAAGTGCAAGAGGGAGATTAAGAGGATATGAAACTGATGCAGAAAGAGGTATATGAGGATAAGAATAGCTAGTTAGAATTTTACTTGCTTCTCATCTCACCAATCCACCCAAAGTCTTTGAAGCACAAGCTTTATGTACAGAATTTGTGATTTTTGCTCTTCATGTGGTTTAGTGGCAATGTCCAGACAAAAGTTTGCCCAAAGCAATAGAGAGTTTGTCAAACCTTTATGCTACTTTCCTGCAGAGGAAAACTACATTCCTGAAAAAAAGGTTTTCAGAGGATGTCTACAAGTCTAAAATACCTGTGTAATATAGCAAACCAATACAGATAGATGCAACTTGAATGAAAATAAATGAAATCTAAAATGTGATTTGCATCAAAGTAATAGTCTGCCTAATTTTTTCCTTAAATGAGAAGCTGTGTAATTATTTTGGATTTGTCTTTTTCTAGCATTTCAGAAATATGCAGTGTTTCAAAGTGAAAGTTTACTACACCAAGATAAGAAAAAGCATGCCATAACACATTTTTTAAACCTCCTTTTAATTTATTTTGTATTTCTTAATAGATTGAACTTCACCACTTAGCAGTTTATTGTAATTCACAACTTGCAACAGAAGATACGTGTTGTGAAATATCTGCAGACTTGGTAAGTTATCTGTTAAAATCCAAATGTTAATACAAAAGAAATTGCTTTGTTGTTTCTTGCTAAAGAGTTGTAAAAAAATTTCAATAGAGGTGATTGTTTAATTACCTTCTAAAAATGGAGTCATGGTACATCGTTTTTTGCTGCCTAAAAAAATGGTACAATAGAACATCAGCAAAAGGCACTAGGTGCTGCTAGTGCTTTTTAAATGCATTTCTTAACATTGATTAAAGTCTAATTAGTAACAGAAGAAGCCTCGGAGAATGGGAAGCAAGTCACTGTGATGACTTCAGAATGATTTCAAACAACAGAGGACATTATAGTAACAGTTGCATCTTGTGAAGCTTTACAGATGATGTAAGCAAAGCACACAAGAGAGTCTGCATGACAGTGGAAGAAAAGGAAGATAGGAGGGTGTTGAGTTTTCTTTATTTTAATACACTAAAATGGAGGAATGGGTCTCTCATAATTGGCAAGTTATAGTGGTAGACTGATGGTTGGACTTGATCCTACAGGGTGCTCTTCCAACCTTGATGATTCTATGAAGGACTTTCTTCTTTAGAATGCACATGCTGACATATATATATTGTTTAACATATGGGAAAACATTGTTTTAGTTTAATGGGTTCACTTTTCCCTCTTGTTTTCATAGACAAAAATCAGTGTAAACTGGAAGACAGTAGAACCATAGCTTGAAGTTGAAGATGTAAATATTTAGTTCAATCTAGCCCATTAAAAAAACCAACAAACCACAAAAAGCCTCAGAAAGACATTTTGTTAAATTATTGGCCTGGTAGCCATGAGTAGTCTGTAAGATTAGGTTCCTCTGAGTCAGTGAACAGTGCCATCACCACCAAGGTTGTAGTCAGCAAAAAAAACCCAGAGGGTGTAGAAGGACTGATTGATTGCATCCACAGAGAGATAGGGGAAAGTACCTGGATGGGAGAGAGAAATCTGCCCAAGAGCAGAGGAGCAGAAGACTGCTGGGTGCTCAGAAGCATGAGAGAAACGTGATCTAATTTCAGGGGGAAATTTCAATTTTAATAGTTCAAATATATTTCTAAATGTATTCTTGATAATAATGCAGACTTTCTCTTGGATGTATAAGCTTATGAAAAAGTGTAATGAATGAGATTTCTCTCATTCAAGCAATGGTGCTTGGAAATACAATTTAATGAGCTGTTATGACACAATAGCAAAAAAAGCAAGAACAAAACAAACCCTAATTATATATGAACTTAAAAAGCTCAACAATAGGCTTTATTAATTCATCTATGTAGCTAAAAGCTTCAGTTTCATTTGTATATCTCATGTTTATGATGTAAGAAATGGTGGACTACTTGTTAATGACTTTCATATTAAAACTAGCATTACATTTTCTGATTTATTTTTTCACAGCTTCCTTACTCACTGCAATAGCCACATTTTCAGTAATTTAAGGGAAGGAATTTATACTTGGATACAAATTTCTATGCTAGCGCAGTAAATCCTATGGGAATTTCTCTGACAGAAGGCTCGAAAAAAAGAAAAAAAACTCATTACATATTAATGAGACTTACTGAAATTTAGCAGGTTCTATTTGTTTGTCCTGTAGTATTTCTTCAGGTTGGCTTAGTTCTCAAGAGTCACAGACAGGTAAATCTTGGCTTCAGGGCTTTTTTGTTTGTTTCCAAACTATGTATGCCAGAACTATTTAACTAAAAAAAAATAAAGTTTCCCTTAGCTCTTACTTTACTCACTTTTATATTTTATACTTAGGGGCAGGGCAGAGGACAGGATGAGACTGAGAAGTGCTATCTCTTTATTCTCCCCATGGACATTTTCTGTTTCACTACTTGTAATTTTGGGAGACTTTATTCCCCTTTATGCCTCTGTCTTTTGGAAGAAAGAAGTGGGACAGCCATATCAGTTTTAACTGGCATCAATTTTAGAACAGAAGGATCTCAATATCTAAAATTCTTTTTTTACAGCTTTTTTCTCTGTTTGGAATTTGTTGTCATTTTCCATGTAAAGTTTGTACAGGAGTATTAAAATAGAGGATAACTTAAAACTAGTGGTTGGATGGTATTTACCTATTAACCAAAGTGGACCAAAAACCAAAAAATCTTCTTGTTTTAGTGCCCACGTGAGGAGAGGTTACTGGCTACGACTTCATCACCAGCGACTGCTCATGCCAGCAAAATATACACGCTTCCAGGGATACAACAAGAATCTACACAGAGATGCTACTGCTTTCCAAATAAAGTATAAAGTTTCCCTGTTGCTTTTTAATAGATCATGCTCTTTAATCCTGTTAGATATAAAAACAGTTGGTTTGCGTTTTTTTACGGTCATGAAAAAATCTTACTGGTTTGTGGTATCATAACATACTTACATTGTATTTCCCAGTTAAGAAACAGTACATTTTGGATTTAGTTAATGTAAAGTTAGAGGTGTCAGTAAGATTTAATTGTTTGAATATACACCCAAAAGAAATACCATGGTAAAACTGAGAATTATATTTAAGCATTATATTTAGTGTAAATGTTTTTACGTGAGAATGAATTATATTCTGCGTAATGTTTGTTTTCTTTTAGTACTTCTCCTGGGTGTTGCATGATATTTATTGAGTCATTTGCTTTGTTAGGCATTTGTGACAAAGACAGGAAACCTAACCAAATATATTTTAGATCTGCATTGTTGACTTTTTTTATTTCTTTTAAAATCAGGGAGAAGCAGGATTGCCGGGAGTAGCTGGCTTGCCAGGCCAGAAAGGAGAGAAAGGTGAAAAGGTAAAATATCACTTGAATTCTCTCTTTCAAGCTTTGTCATTGGCTTATCTTTCTTAAATAGGAATTATATGGATTCTGTTATTCGTTAAAGGATCTGCCTGAACACGGGTTGGATCCTTTATCAGTCAGTGTCTGGCTCTGTGTGTGAGCTCCCAGCCAGGCATCTTACAGCTGCCTCACCTTGGGGTCACCTCATCGACTCTGTGGAGCACTGTTTACCTGCCTGAGGAGCACATGCCTCCCCAGCCCTGTCCCCATGCCCTATACAGTAGGCATGTATATATTCTGACAAGAATTTGTCCATGTCATGTATGGATATCACTGCTGATGGACAGAATCCCCTGTGGAGTAATCATCCTTGCAATCGTCCCTCCTTGTGTGAGGGTATGAAATATGACTTCAAGATATTCTTTGACAGCACTCCTACCTGAAACTTTATTAATTGTGAAGAGAGAAGAATCTGACATTGGCAAGTCTCTAGGACAGGCCAGTTGGTCCTTTCCTTGGGCCTCCTCTGAATTTTCCTGTAATTCTTACCATGATATTCTTATGCTTTGTAGCTTGGAATTTCCTAATAATATTGATCAAGATATCAGGTGTTTTCCCTTCACACTCCATTCCTTAAATTATGTTGGAGGATGCTGAATGGGATGATACATGTCTGGGAATGTGTTTTCCATGTGCTATCAGAGGGGGCTAATTGAATAAACTATTGTAAATCTGCCACAAAGACAGTGAGGTAAGAATTGAGTTCAGGGAATGCAGTGTGAGAGGAAGATGCACAGAATGTCCTAATCCAGAGGTTAGGGTGGAGGTGTCCTAACCCAACATCCTACCTTGCAGCACACCATTAAATATGTGATCTGAAGTAGATTGTGAAGACAGCCAGGGCTTTTCCTACACCTGCAGTGTCTGACTGAAAAGGGCCAGTTCTGAGAAGACTTATCTACACACTTGGTTGAAATTAAGAACATTCCTTGATAGTATATTGCCCCCCACCACAAGTCCTCCCCTCCAGTATATATTTCACTTTTGACACAAGCTGTATTTTTAGGTGAAAAAAAAAAGTTCAATCATATCAGTTTCTATAGTCCAGCTGAACCTACTGTCAGTTTTCAGACTTAATCATGAAGTTTTGATCCTGAGTACATTAAACAATTGCCAGCTTTTAATTTTAGCCCATGCCACCAGCATAGGGAGTTTCCTACCATTTGTTTGGAAAACTGCTTTTCTGCTCCTGACCTGATCCATGTAGACCATTATTGCTACTAAGCTGGGAAAGCAGACTTCACAAGTCTGATTTTTTTATCATTAAATCTCCCAGCCAATGAGCAGTATTTACCATGCTAAACATAGTGCCTCTAAACAAAGCATGTGAGTACCTGTGGTAACTTCTGGTTCTGTTCTCCCACTTGTTTTACAAGAGGAGCCTCATTGCATGGACTCTCTATGCATGGAACTAAGAATCAGTGAACCCCACTGCACCCAGCAGTTTAACCTAAAGAGAGTATATTGACTTTTATGAATGTTCTTTCACAAAAGAATGAATCAGCAGGTTAAAGGCAGGGGTAATACACTAAGCAGGTCCAAAGCTACTTAATTTGAACTTTTCTTATAATTGACCAGTACTTGTTACTCCCTAGCTTCACAGTGGATGGGCTTTTTTCTTTTTTGGGGGATGGGGAAGGGAGTTTGGATGGAGGGCACAGTATGACTGTCATCAGGATTGGCTCACTGACCTTTGGGAGCAAACAAATCTTGTGTTAAATAGTGCCTGCCATGATGGAGCTGAAAGCAACATTCTCTGAGATTTTAATGCCATTTTTCTCATTGACTCTGCATTTACGCAAGTTTTGAGTAATGCTCACTCTCAATGGTGGCCTTGTTACGTTAATAATTAGACCTGAAGAGGCAGAAAGGCTCCAGAACATTCCAGACATGTAGGATACATGATTTATTGTCAAATTATGTAAAGGAAACTAAGAGACTCTGGCTGAGTGTCTTGTAATATGTTATGGACAAAATAGGGAGCTTCTTGATAACTTTGCTGGCCAGTTACAAAAAGCAGGTCTTCTCTAAGTTGTTTGTGGTTCCTAAGCATATGTTTCCCCCTTTGCTTGTGCTCAGCTTCTCATTTTATTGTCTTTTGCTTCTAAATCATATTACTATAGGCATCCAACTAACTATATTTAAATGTCCTTGCCATTGCAGCATCTAAGTGGAAATGTTAATTTTTTACCCTCTTTCATGAGAAATTTCTTATTCTGTTGATATTATCTCATTTTCAGTGCAGCAGTTACCATCCTTTTATTTTATTTTATCTCGTTCCAATTTCCAATTCACTCTAATTAACATTATGATTGAATTCATGTCTTTTTTTGTTGCTGTGGAATTGACAAGGAAGTCTCTACCTACACAGTTTGATATTAGGCTGCATTCAAGCCCCTCAAAATTTCCCATCTCTTCAGTCTAACATCATTGTTCCCTAAGGTCAGACTGTTCAGAAACATCTAAGCTATCACCTGTATAAAGTATGATAGCTTATAAGCCATTTTAGGCATTTTGAATTTAATTATTAGTCTGTTTGCATTTCATTCCTGTACTCTTGGCTCATCTTAGTACTTCTGAACAGGTCTGAGCCAAAATTCAAAGCATATTGCAAGCCCAAAGGACTGGAGTGCTATATTTTCACTGGAACAAGCATTCATGCAAATATTGATGTATGTCTGGCAAGCTGTGAATCTGAATGCACAGGAGTATCACCGATCAAAATTATGCTAATTATTGACACAAAATTATTTGTGTGAATGACCTTCCTGTTTGTATACCTGGCCTTCCATTATGACATCATGGGGACAATTCTTCACTCAAAACTGTTATCTCTGATACATCAGGCATGAAATAGTTAGTTTGCTCTGCTGGATATTTTTGTTGAGAGATCAGCTTCTGCAGCAAGGGACCACCTCCTGATCTTTAATTTCTCAGTAATTAAAACTGAAAAAATTGCTGAGACCGACTTTATTTGCTACTTACTAAGTGTACAATTTGGACTATCCCTAAATAATATGCTGTATTATTCTCATGGCAGTTTGATTCTTAGCATAGTGTATTTTACAAATTGCAAGCAGACACAAGTCAGGTGGAAGTCTCCTGTGATTTTAACACATTTTGATATCTGCTGTGGAGTTGGGTTTTCTCCTCTGCTGATCTGAGTGACATATTTACTGTGTTTTTTTATTCAGTTGCCATTTGTACTACTTCAGCATTGTATTTAGCTCCTCAGAATAATACAAACATATTTCTTGTTAGCAAATGTCTTTTGATAATGTTGTAAAGGTCCTGTTTTTTCCTCAGTATGTAGAAATTCTTCAGAAAGACAGAATATGGATGACTGTAATTGGAATTATTACATATATGCTGAATATATAAACTGATTTTCTCTCTCAGAGGCTAAAAAATTAACTGTGTTTTCTACTTTTATTTCTTTTAAGCAGAGTTAGTGCACATGAAATATTTTAAATTGAGATCTAAACAGATTTAAATATTTTGATATAACATTAAACCAATCCTAGCTCTGTTAATAGGTCATTGGTTAATGCTGTAAGTGAAGTAGGGACCAAAAAGCCAGAGGCAGATTGCTTTCAAATATTAAAATGCCTGTTGATGCACACCATGGAGAAATTTATTGCTATTCAACATCATTAATTTAAATTTTACATAAGGAAAAAGACATTTAAAAGGCTATTTTGGGATTGCTAGAGATAGGTTTATGCAATATATTATTGCACTAGGAAAATATTTGTAATATGCAAAAAAGATCTCCTGTAGAACAAGTGAAGTGTCTGAACTGTTCTTTCTGCTTATTTTCCTTGCTAGTCTTTCTTTCCTGCTACTCTGACTTTCCTCTTAAATCCAGTCGACTTGATTCCAGCTGAAGCATTGTAGTATGTACAATGTACTAGTACATTGTACTACTACTTGTACTTGCACTGTACGAGTACATTGTACTATGTACTATTGTACTATGCCGCCCTGAGAATGGTTCCTTTCTGGCCCAGTCGTTGTTGCTGAGGTTATTCATAGGTACCTAGAAGCTAGAATTCAAGAAAAAGAAGAAAATTGAGCAAAATATGGCTGGCTGTCAGTTATGACAAAGTCAGGAATTTCTAGTATACTTAGTAGAATAAAATCTTACAGTAAGCAGAAGGACACACTTCATGCTTACCAACCTAAGAATTTATGGATAATCCTACTTATGTTTTACCATCATCCAAGTTATCAAATTAAAAAGGGAAAATATCATTAGCAACACAACATTTTTTTTCTTATAAATGGTTCTGAAATGTTACTTATTTTCTTTTTTAACATATTTGCCATTCTTCTCAGTCCTGAGTTTAAGTCTTCCTGAAGAGAAGAGATGGTGGCAGCAAGTCCTCACCACTCTGAGGTGCTCAGAGGTGTGGGGAATGTCACACTTCCCCAGCGGGGCCATTCCAGAGGTGAAACAGGAGCAGGGGAGCCAGGGTCACTGGCACTGGTGCAAGAGTTAAACCAGTGACACCCAGCTCAGGCTTTGGTGAGGCTGAGCTCCTGCACTGATGGGACAGAACACAGCTGGGGGCTTTGCTAGGAGTAACAGGGATGATACTTCCTCATCTATATACTCCCTGCTGCTCCCACAGTACCAGGGAAACCCTGGAGTGATGCTGCCTTTGGGATGAGTTTTCTTTCTCCTAATATATTCTCTGAATGTGAATTCATTTTCCCCTTTTTGCTAATAGACACTTTTTTTCTCACCTGAATATTTCTGGTGATGTTGTGTCTTGGTTTTGGTTGGGACAGAGTTCATTTTATTCACAGTAACCCGTATGAGGATATGTTTTGGATTTGTGTTGGAAACGGGGTTGATAACACAGGGATATTTTCATTATTGCCAAGTGCTTGCACAGAGTCAAAGACTCTTTTGCTCCCACCCCACCAGCGAGGAGGTTGGGGGTGCACAAGGAGTTGGGAGAGAATACAGCCAGGACAGGTGACTCCAGCTACCAAAGGGATATTCCATATCCTAAACATGATAGCATGCTCAGTGTAGATAAAGTAGTATATAAAACAGTGGGAATAAGGAGGAAGCCGGGGGACATCTGGAGTGGTGCTGTTTGTATTCCCAAGTCACCATGATAGAGCCCTGCTTTCCTGGAGGTGGCTGAACACCTGCCCACCCATGAGAAGCTCAGTTGAAAAGGATTTTCACTGTCCTCCTTAGTAAATCCTGACAGTAGACTTACGGCTCATGGTTCTACCTTTGCTGTTGTTATATTGTGTGTACCTCATATCCTATAAATGCCAGACTTGTACTACTACTGTTCACCACCCTACAAAGCTGTTTTCCTGGCAACTTATCCTTCACTTTTGTGAAGGACTTTGAGGCCTGCAGAAGGAAAAGAAAAGGCCATTAAGAAAAAAATTAAAATAATAAAGATGCATTTCCTATATTTTTAGTTTTAGTCTGTGATGCTGTTTCTATGAATACTATTAGATCCCTGTATATCTCATATATATATTATATATATACATATATGTATTCATAAAGGTATTAAAAACTACCACCTTTCAGCCTGTGGTTATTAAAATCACAACTAGAAGGTAGAAGCATAACTTGCAGACCTAATTTGCAGTGGAAAATAATTGTCTTCAAGATGGGGAGTCTGTCTGCAGTTAGTGGAACAGAAGTGTAAACATACCTTGGTTAATTGGCTAGTAAGTCATGCAGGCTAAAGGCTTCCTGGCGTGTAGCAGGCTGTGTAATTTTAGACTATACAGTGTATAAAAATACACTGCTAAAGGTAACAAAGTGGTACTGGTCTATTAAAATACTGGCAAGTGGCAGTAGGGAACAGAGGATACATAGATAAGAGAGTCACTCTGTGGGTGATTAGATAAGGTAACCTTTACCTCTGATAGTGCCAGTGGATTCATGCTATTCACACATCCAGGATTTTGGTCTATTTTTGAGGCAGAGCCGTTTATTATCTTTATCCATGGTCTGGGTGAGGGGATTGGGTACGTGCTGACTAAGAACAAATCCTGTGAGGAGTGGCTGAGGGAGCTGGGGATATTTAGGCTGGAAAAAAGAAGACTCAGGGGTGGACTTATTGTTCTCTACAAGTACCTGAAAGAAGGTTGCAGGCAGGAGGAGGTCAACCAGGCAGCTGATGACAGGACAAGAAGAAATGACATCAAGCTGTGTGACAAAAGGTTCAAGTTGGCCATCAGGAAGAATTTCTTGCTTGAAGAGGTGGTCAGCCCTTGGATTGAGTTGCCCAGGGAAGGGGTGGAGTCACTCTCCCTGGAGGCATTCCAGAAACAACTGGACAAGGCATTCAGTGCTATTCACTGATATGGTGGTGTTCAGTCAAATGCTGGACTTGATCTTGGAGGGGGTTTTTAAGCTTTATGATTCTGATACTACTTTTATTGTGTACTTCTGGCCAATCTTACTGCTCCTTTCTCAGCTTCAGAAAGGTTCATAACTTCATTTCAGACCAGAGTTATGATGTTATTCTTGCTGGAGAGTGTTCTTCTCTTGGTAGAAGTAGACGCACCTAATATTTTGGGGTTTTATGTTTTGTTTTGTTTTTAATTGAACAATATATGGTTTCAGTGCTTTTGTTTTATTCCTCTGTCATCCAAATTATTTTTATTTTGAATTTGTTAAACTTTACATTATTTAGCAAAATTTCTGGGTTTGGTGTTTTCTTATGTCATTTTTACGACTTATCTTCCTAACTCTCCTGATCAGTCCATCATTTGTCTCTCAAAACTAAAATTTACTTATAGATTGCTTATGGTTTGAGGTTTGATTTCTGAGGTGATAAAATGGAGGGAGAGAGGAATTTAAATAATGTCTTTCAAAAGTATTGTGGGCACATGACTGTACAAATCTGTATTACATGTTGAGCTTTCTCAGTTTAGAACTGAAAATGGACCCTCTTGGTTTCAGTCTTCTGTTGCAACGAATTCCTTTAAAATTAGTGCTTTTATGGAAATGTGGATGTGAAAGTATTTGTCTGATAAAAGACTTAATTGACGTTACAGGCCTTTAAAATGCATTTATTTTGCTGATTTTAGTGTTACATGTAAGGCGTCCTCCTCCACAGTTGTTACATTACTAAAAAATCAGGTAGAAGATGCTTTTCTATTGAGTCTGAGATGACCTGAGCATCTAATTTGTCAATTTGTTTTGTAGGGTGAGATGGGTGTGAAAGGACCAGATGGTGTGGCAGGTCTGCCTGGTGAGAAGGTATGTTCCTGTTTGTTGATGTGTGATTTAACTCACAGGAAGTGTTCATTGTGTCAGTGGCTTCTCTGTAATTGTGTACAGAAATGGGAGGATAGAACATTTTTGTCTTACCTGCACTTCCCTGTTTTGGTAGCTCACTGAAAAAGCTGTTCAGATCAAAAGCATTTCTGCACATGTGCATGTTTGGTGGGTTTTTTTTTCCCAAGAAGTGGGGGTTATATAGAGCTAAAGGAAGCTACTTGTTCCACTTGCCCAGTTTGTGGTCTGCAAGCTTAGATAAGAGCTCTTGTGCACTCAGCAGCCTGCTTGGTAGAGCTTGAGATAAACATCACTGACTTAATCAAGGATTTGGAATAGCCATGGCTAAGAAGGCATGCCAGCCTACTGGTGTATTCAAGGATAAGTTTCACTTCATTTCAGAATGTTAGTGTGCAAAGTAAGACATTGTATGCACTCACTGGGTTCAGTGCTATTACCTGTATTAGAGGAAGTCTGTAAGTCTAATATCTAGCATCTTCAGTATAGAAACAACCCTCATAACACTGAGGAAACAGCTTGTTGCTGTCAGGCTTAAAATCAGGGGGTTTACAGGACATTAAATAATGAAATTGTCTTTTATTTTTACTTACTATTTCTGTCTCAAATTTTGATTTTTTTAAAAACAGGAGGTAGATGTATATTAGCAAAGTTGAGAGGAAAAATCAAAGTATTTGTTGCTGACATTAAATTATATTGGTACAAAAATGGAGAACAGGCTGCAAAGATTTTCAAAGGAATTTGCAACATTGAAGAACTGAATTGTCAAGTGGTATGTAAGACTCAGAGAAAGCAATAGGCAAGTGATGCAGATGAAGAGGAAAACAAAGGAAGCATTATGCATTTCATGCCAGACTGGACTAGCTATTACAATTCAGGAAAGTGATCTTGGAATTACAGATCAAGGAAAACATGAGCTCAGTGTTTACCACTAGTCAAATAAACAAACAGTATTTGGGAATTACTAGGAATAGGGAACAAAGCAAAAGCATTTTAATGTCACCATTTTTAATGAATCTGTCTGTATTATGCTGCAACTTGAATGATGTATACAGTTCTGGTTCTCACATCTCAGTGTGAATCTAATAATACCAGGAAGATTGAGAGGTGTCAAGAGTGATCAAGAGCACCAGACATCTTCCAATTAAAGTATGACAATGTGGTCTTCATTCTGAAAAAGGCACAATTAAGAAGAAGCATGTCATGTTCTGTTCTCTGTAAAGTCCTGAATGGAGCAGAAGAGATTAATAGGGATTTATTTATTTATTTTGTTCTTCAGTGTGTGAATTACAGCATTTGATAGCAGGTTCAAAAAAGATAGAAAAGGCTCATTATTCCTATTACAATATTACAGTTTGAACACTGCCACAGAACCTGAAAAGTCTGAAAATGTATTAGAAAATTAATGTGGTAAAATTCCATGGAGCGTGTCAGATTGCTTGTACTTCAAGAGGCTGGAATCTGGGAAAGCCACAGGAGAGGTCTTTATGGCTGCCCTGTTGTTATATTTTTCTGTAGACATCTGTTGTTGCCATGATTGTAGTCCTGTAATTGACTGGAAAAACCTTTGTTTTGATCCAGATAGACAATGTTTTATTTTACTGTGCTCCTAGATGTGAATTAATGGAAAGAGTTATTGTAAAGCATTGTAGATTGAGATTGATCTAGAATGAAACTGTTTTCCCTTGGCTCATTCTGTAGCTCCTACTCTGATGTTATCTTGTTTTAAACTTACCAGGCTACGTTGCTTTTCCAGTCCAAGTTATTATTATTGCAGTTTCCATGGTTAATATTGTTTGGGTTTTTTTGCTAAGCGCCTTGCAAATTCATTGTCAGGCCAAATCCCAAAGCTCCTGTTAGTTTACATGAAGCTCAACAGACAGATCTTATTTAATATCCAGACATCTTACTTTTTTCTGAACACTACAACCCTTTTAATTCAGCCCATATTAAATACCATTGCTGCAAATTAAAAATGAACTACCATGAAATAGAAAACTGTCAAAGCTTAAAACTTGTTAAAGAAAGAAAGCCAAGTTTTTTGTACAAGCTAGATGAAGAAACTGAGATCCAACTACCCAGCTTCTGCTAGCTGGGATGATCTTGTCTGTGTGGAGTAATGCAGTGTTGTGTGTGTTAGCTCAATTCTGGAGCTAGAATGAATATTTTCCTCACCTTGTGAAAGGTGCTGAAGTGTTCCTTCCCAGGTCAAGAACTATATACATTTTTAGAATCTTTTATTTTTGTGCTCCCTTAAGTGTGTTTTTCTGGATAACATTGTTCATAGAGTTCAAGACAATGAAGTGGAGGAGCATCAAACCTGTCTGAGCTGAAGAAGCATTTGGACAACACCCTCAGGCACAGGGTGGGATTCTTGGGCTGTTCTGTGCAGGGCCAGGAATTGGAATTGAAGATTCTGATGAGTCCCTTGCAACTCAACGTATTCTATGATAAAAATACTCTAAGCACTCTTGTTTGCAAAGGCATCTCCTATATTTCAGGATGTTGACTGAGGTGCACTGCTGGGAGGGCATTCTCAGGAGTTGCTGCTGTTTGTGCATCCTCTTAAAGCCTTCAGCACATATTATCTATTGTTGAAGATGTTAAATTGCTTAGTATGACTTTTCTTACGTTTTTGCACTGTGTATTCCTGAGCTTTGTGCAGATGTGCCCCTGAGTCACTAGTTAGAAACAGGAAAAAGGAAAAAGAAATTATATTTTTTTAAAGATTTAACTGAAGTTTGAGGCTTCAAAGAATAGAGTTGCTCTTGATATACTCCCAAAACCTGTCCACTGCAATACTCCTTTGCTTATACTTCATTCCCTGGGAAAAGGTTCAGAGAATAAATAAGCAATAGATTTTACTCATGTTATTATGCACAAGAAACAATATCAATTCATTTGACTTATTTTGGATGTTTGCCTTAGAATGAGATAAACTTGGCTGTTGGAAATCCTGTTTCTTTAGATTGATTATCTCAAACATAGCTGACGTAGAGAAAAACTAAACTTAGAGTAATACTATGCAATGGACTTTATTACTTGAGAGAATCCTAACAGGAGAACCTACCAGAACAGTGCTCAATGCTTCTATACTTAATTTTCAAGATGTGAATAAATGGTGAGACATCTGTGGGTCTTCATATATGGCCTTGACTTTCAAAGATCTTAAGTGTGAAAATTGTACAGTTTGTCTTCAAATGTGACATTTTGCCTTCTGTCACTTTCAAGACATACTGTCACTGACAACATAATTTCCAATTCACCAAATGCTGCAGTCTGCTGGCTAATAGGTGCAAAGTAAGTGGTGTAGGCTTCTAGGCTCTTGCCAATTAAGAGACTCGATCTGCTGAAGGCTAATACAGACAACAGAGTTTAAGGCTTGATGACTCTAGGGTAACATAAGAATAGCCTTAACACCCTAAAGAAAACAGAGGAATATTCTAGCCATAATTCAGCAGTTTTGTGGATTTTTCTGATGCAGTTCTTGTAAGCTGCCAAAGTAAAAAATGAGGTCTTCATTGACTGGCACATCACAAGATGCCTGTCTCCTCTGCCTTTGGGTTAATAGAAGTCAGTGTCATGGTGACAATGAACAATCTAGAGAGGCAAGAATCTAATGCAGACCCTGTGGAGCCCTACCTCAGGCCCCCAAAGTCACAACAGAGTAGATAGTCAGCACTGTTATATATGACTGTGTATTTGATGTCCACCTATCTAGTTCCTTCATCCCCATTGTTCTTCAGGAAAGTGTCTTAAGAGATTTTTCTTTTAAATAGTAGAACCTACTTGGGGCAACAGGACAAACTCTTGAGATTATCAGAGGAGATAGCTCTGAGGCACTTGTTTATAATTCTAAAATGAGAGAGTAGTAGTCATTCCTTGGAGGGAAATTTGCTTCCTTTGCAGACTATCAGAAGAGATGGGATACAGTGGCATGATCCCTTTCCTGCAATTAGGACTGACCTGTAGCTCAGCCTTCTGGGCATACTTCTTCAAGGTATCTGCCAAACCATGCTACAAAAACAACTGGAAGTTGTGGTTAATCAGAATCCCTGTGTGTGTGAGACCTTAGGCTCTGCCCTTCTGGCAATGTTCGGCAGAGGCTGTGAGAACAGAAGAAATGTGTTGAAGGAAGCACTGTGTTAGCCTACTTTTTGGTGATTAGCAGGTGAAATTGCCTCTGGATACACTTCTGAAGCCATTTAATATAACTGTATTATAGCCAGAGGGCTGGTTATGGCGTGAGAAATTAAATCTGGCCCTGAAGTGGAGGTTTAAGGTGACTGGACTACTTTAAGATATGACAGTCACCTATCTGTTCCAGAAATTAACAAATCCTGATCTAGCGGTTAGACTCATTATGACAATGAAAACTGATTGCTCAGCCATTAAGAATGGTCTTCACCTATAACTGCTGTGTACAGGGTCACATCACTAGCATAACCTGAGCAAGGTCAATACATCACTGTAAAGTATTTCTATTTTAAAAAGTTTAATTATTTTCTAGTGTTCCTGTACTACTGAGATGGAGAGACAAGATTCCTGTTGGTGTGACCCAAAGGCTTCTCCCTAATGGAAGTCATAACATCATCTTACTTCCATACAGGTTGAATGTGTGCAGGTCCTTTCCATAGCACCCACTGGGGGATTGTTACAGACTTCCCTGGCATGTGTTTTTTGTTTATTCTCTGCACAAAGCATATCATGTGTTGGATCCTTCCACTACTTACAGGGGGCTTATTAAAAAAGAGAGAGAGCTACCTTTTGCATAGGCTGACAATGACAGGACAAGGGGGAATGGTTTTAAACTGAAATATGAGAGCTTTAGATAACATGCTGTGAAGAAATTCTTTACTCAGAGGATGGTGAGGCACTGGAAGAGGTTGCCCAGAGAAGTTGTAAATGCCCCATTCCTGGAAGTGTTTAAGGTCAGGTTGCATAGGGTCCTGAGCAACCTGGTC